GACAGCAAGCTGATCCACAATCATAAAGATCCCGAAACAAATGTTAGTAATGGGTTTGAGAGCTTACAAAAGAAGAGATAGATGTGTCAAAACCCACAAGAAAAGAGCTGTGAATCACTAGTTGGCAGATTTTTATGAACAGTTTTAGCCATAGCTTAAGCGAGAGTCAAGGAGCTTCGTTGAAGTTTGTCTCCTAGGTATACCAATTTCACACGCATTCACTCTTGCAGCAAACCGGAGAGAGCAAAGAGACTCTCCAGCTGAAGATGGGTCAGGCGAAATGTTTACAAACATCAAGGTCTTTGAATCTCCTCCTAGGCAAGGCTGTTCAAAGATAGGCCCTTGTTACTAAATTTTGCAATGACATTTTGAAAACTGATTTATGTAGCCACACAATTTAAACGACGAAAACAAACCTGGAGCAGATATGTTAGCTTTGAGTTTCTGAAAGGAACATGATCTTCTTTCTTAGCCAATGCAAAGATAACATCACTCAAAGCTGATAAACTTTTGTTTATAGCCTGTTGTAGTGCAGAACAAAGATCAGTAATGATATGCTGAAGCCAAAAGCTTGGAAAGATTATGTTTGAGACAACAAAAAACCTGTGTCTCTTTTAATCGATCTCCAGTTGCCCCACTCTTTGATAGCCTCTCGCTTCCAGCAAGATCGATTAGGTTGAGAACACCTTGTACCTGCTGTTCAGTGCTCTGAAAGAGGAGAGATGGTTGTTAATAAAGGATTTCAAAGTAGGAAAGTCTACATTACAAGGCAAGAACACACTCCAGATTGCAAAGAAATTATTACCTCATTAACACCCGAAATCCGCATAGTAAACACAAAATGACTTCTGGAAGATTGCTCATTCATTTGAGTCTTCCCTACTGACCTGCAAAAAGAGAATTCACTCCATGTTTGGTCAATTGACAGAGAGTTATTTATTTGTTACACTATGCATTCAAGAAAATCCAGTTTCAGTTACCATGTCATACAAGAACAAGAATGTTACTATATTCTCATAATCCACGGCTAGCAAAAGAGGCCAGAATTCATCATAAAAGGTCCAACACAATACCTGCTCTGAGCAGCCTGCTGCAAGAGTGAGGATATCTTTCCAATGCTGCACACATCAAATATGGTCAAGTCGCTGACATGGGTGTGTCCATTTACGTCATGAGTGATTGTATATTGCTTTCCTGAAGTGCCACTGTCTGCTCGCACCAACTCCATAGAAGTTGTTCGATTTGTAGAGAGCAAATCTCTGATGGTCTCATTATATATTTCCAACATCGATACCTACATTTTAAAGAACAATTTGAAATCCAACAAATAGTTAGAAAAAAGGTAATGCCAATTAAATCAATCAGCAATATGGGATGAAAAGTACACCTGCATTTTGTACTTCCAGCCTTGTGCACCGAGTGATTGACTGGCTTGGAATATCTGTTCAAGTGATCGAGGGATCAGACCTTTCTGTTCTGGCGTCTCAGGCCTGCCCATCATGGTGTAGGTCTTGCCAGAACCTGTCTGACCGTAGGCAAAGATACAAACCTGTATTCAAAAAATATTTAAGATAGAGGCATCAACTATAGAACCTGTCTTAAGAATTTTAACACTAAAAAGAAGGAGCTATATCTACACAAGCACTCTGTGCTACACATACGAAATACTCCAACATTACTTCAAACGAGTTACTGTAACTAGAATTTTTTTACATAGCAGGTATATCGAGAGTACGTAAATTAGTGAAGAGAAAAGACCTTATAGCCATCCAGTGCACTCTGTACTAGTTGAGATATTTCAAAAAATACTTCTTCCTGGGAAGCTTCGTGATTGAAAACTTTGTCAAAGGTGAAAGGATGTTTGTTCCCTGTTGACATATAGAATAGCACCAGGCAGGAAAAAAGGATTTAATGTCTTTGAGAATAGTCATCCATAGCAAAAAGTAATTCAAGTCAGGCAATAGTCATACCACTCTGAACCAAATCAACACCTCTTCCTCGAGCTTCTGTTGAAGTAGGATAGGCTATCACAGTTGCTTCATGTCGTCCTCCATCGTCTGGTAACAAGGGGCGCACTCGGCAGAAGACCCGTATATTTCCTTTTAGTTCCTGAATTTACAGCTTCTCTTAGCTTATATCAAGACAGCCACATATATAATAGTAAAAAAAGAAAAAACATTGTCATACAAGAATAGTGTTATGAAGCTTCTTCCGCAATAACTCTGCCTCACACAGTTGATGCTCCATGTCTGCAAGGCGGTCTTGTAGTTCGCACAGTAGATGCTTCTGCTCCTCAAACTCTGTTCTAGTAAGAGATACTGATGCATCTGCCATCTGTATTCACAGTTATAAATATCTATCAAATTAGCTATTCGAAATAAAGAGCATCTGATAGTCAGGCACATCATTAACTTCTGAGATAAACTATATCCTCCCGGTACCTTTTGCCTTTCACTGGCGATTGCTAATTGCTGCTCTAACATATTTATACGCTCCTTTTGCAACGAACATGTCTCCTGCAGGGTAAAACTAAATATGAGAAAGGAAAGAGGAAAATGCAACTTTAAACTAACATCCAATACTTAACCAAACAAGTACTAACCTCCAACGATCCTGATTTCGCTATCAAGATGTCTAGCTCTTGTGATGACTTTCCGACATTCTCCTGGTATTTCCCGATTTCCTCAGCCAGCTTCTGTGACTGAACAACTTGGCGATCACGGTCATCCCTAACTTGTTGGAGCTCATTCCGGAGATTAGTAACTTCCAAAAGCAATGAATCCTTCTGTTTTATAGCGTCATCTTGCAAAACCTTGATCACAAAAAAAGGAAGAGGAACAAGTAAAGAAGAAATTAGACCAATTAAAGTAGGCATGCGACTATAAGGGCAGTGGTAAAGAAGAGAAACTTACTCTGCTTGAAGCTAATTGATCCTGCAGCGACTTGCTGTGACCCCTTAGTGTACTAAGATTCTCCAGGATGCTTGACTTCTCTTTTTCAGCACGTGTGAGTGCAGCTCGAACTGTTTCAAGATCAGTCTGGAGTTTGCTGTTATATTGTTGCAAACTTGTGTTGTACTCTTGTAGCCTTTTGTACATATCCTCAAGTGACGTCACCTGTAAATACAAAATAGTCCAATTTCCATAGTAACTAACAGATCATGTAGAACTACCACGAGAAACAGAAATGAAACACCTAAAGAAGACAACAGAAGACATATGTTATATACCTTCTGCTTGGCAGCCATTTTCTCTTCTTTAACTTTATAAAGTTCTTCTCCAAGAGAAGCCTGCACTTTCTCAGCTGCAACTCTAGATTCTTTTTCTCTTCTGTGACATTCAATGGCATCCTAGTGTTCAACAAGTAAGAGGAGAGAAAACTCATTTAATGAATTGCATTAAGAGAAAACATTCGCAATGAGAAAAACCAGGCACCAAAAGCCTTGCCTGTTTACAAGACTCCTCTTTTGCAAGCTTTTCATGTAGTGACACTACATTCTCTTTCAAATTTGATATAGTGGCATGTAGCTCTTCTTCTTTTGTCCTAGCCTCCAACTCTAAAAGAGTCAAAAAGTTAGGGACTACAACCAAATGCGTGAACAACTTGTTTCATGTTAAGGAATCGCAAGAAAGAAAATAACCTTTGTGGTTGTATTTTTGTTCTGCAGATTCCAAAGAAACCCTCAAACTTTCCTTCTCTTGGACATGGGTTTCATCAGCTTGTTGAAACCATTTAACACAAATCTTCAGCCTCTTGATAATATCCGTCATTTGCTCAATCTTAGCCTGCAGGGACAGGAGAACAAAAACACTCCTTCTGAGTGAAACCATAAACGAAAACATCTGCAATGTTTAGAGCACAAAACAAGTGTAACTCAATCAATATACCTTTGTATCAAACTTTCCAGCTTTTGCTCTCTCACTGAGCAACGCCAACACTTCATCTTTTGTAAACTCAACTTTACCACATTCTTCTATGCTCCCCACATCGCTGTTCATCGTGACATCTTGTTTGTTCACAGCCGAAAACGCTTGTCTTCTCCCAGTCCCTTGCGTTTCCACTTTCCTTCGCTTGTCAAATGGAATGCCACCGAGACCCTCCTTTTTCTGAAATTGAATCAAAATCCACAGATATTTCATCAATTTCATAACAAAACCCATATCCAGCTACAAGAAAAGTGGAATCCCAGAACCCACGACCACCCTAAACTTTATCAATAACCCATCAGAGTAAGAAATGCAAGGCCGATGAAGATAACACCTTGGTAAGCTCACAAATAAAACCCTAAATGCGAAACGACCAGTCCTAGGGTTTTTCTCAAACCCATCCTCCAGGAAACACAAAGGTGACGACGAAATTTAGTGGGAAAGCATGAAAAAAAGGAGCTTACAGCGTTTGGACTGCGAGGAGGACGGTTCTGGTTACGAGAAGCCATCTCCGAGAATCAAAAATTAATACAAATTTCCTCTCCTTTCGCTCGTCAATTGCATAAAAATCTCAAATCGGAGTCTTCTCCCGAAATTCGGGTTACCGACGCAGTGTCCTCTAAAATCTCCGATTGATTCTCAATAAGATCTTAGAGAATCAAACCGAAATCTTCTCAATCGAATTCGAGAAACTAGGGTTCTTACTTTTTCCTAATTTGGGGATTTTTTGTCTGTGTGTGTGTGTGTGAGACTGAAGCAGGAGCCTGTAGTTTTTTCGAAATTCGAACGATTTTGAAATTAGATGTGGCGGACTTTTGGAATTATTATAACGTTATTCTCATTTCTTTCTTTCGCTATTAATTATTATCCATCATTAAATAAAATATTTAAAAGTATGGGCTAACTTTGGGCTTATAAAGAAAATATTCGGCCCAAATGTTTAATCATGCCACGTGGCTTTAGGACGGAGAAACAATCTGAAACGTGGCTTTGTATGATTGGCTAAAACCATATCCTGACTTATCTAAAGTAACAGATAAGGCGCTCTGTGTCGGAGAATGAAACCAACCAATCATATAAGCATAACCAATAATCATCGCTTCAATTTTCGTCTTGAGAAAGAAAACAAAAAACAATGGCTTCGATTGGTGGATTACACGGTGCATCTCCGGCGGTTCTTGAAGGAAGTTTAAAGATCAATGGCTCGAGCCGTCTGAATGGCCCTGGAAGAATGGCCGTGGCTCAAAGGTCTAGACTTGTCGTCAGAGCTCAACAGAGTGAGGAAACTTCTCGTCGATCTGTGATTGGGCTCGTGGCTGCTGGTTTGGCCGGTGGCTCGTTTGTTCAGGCTGTCCTCGCAGATGCTAACCCGATCAAAGTTGGTCCTCCTCCGCCTCCTTCCGGTGGCCTTCGTAAGTTAACTAACTAACTTATCTTCCAGTAAGATTATCAATCTCGTTTCTTTTGAATTTAAACGTGATTTTAGGTTATTTAGATGAAAAACCTAAAACCTAATGGTACATTTTTTGTAGTCTTAAAATGTGGATGTTTTTGTGTAAGAGTTTATAGAGTCCTTACTAATCAACCATGTGTATGAGGAGGAATGTTTCATCAGGATTTAGGTTTAAGTTCTTAATAAGCAAGCTGCAAGCATGTGTTCGATTTAGTTCTTTACTTCTTTATAACAATTTTTGGTTCGGTTTAGGTAATTAAAATCAATTCTGAGTATAACCGAAATAAACATCCTTAAAACTTGATTTTTATATGACATAAGTGATAAGACGGTAGATACACACTTAACATTGTTTTATTTTTCTGAGTCGTGACAACATTGTGTTTTGTTTGGTGAGCAGCTGGAACAGATAACTCAGACCAAGCAAGAGACTTTGCATTGGCATTGAAGGACAGATTTTACTTACAGCCATTGCCACCAACAGAAGCTGCAGCTAGAGCCAAAGAATCTGCAAAGGATATCATAAATGTGAAGCCATTGATCGAGAAGAAAGCTTGGCCATATGTTCAAAACGATCTCCGTTCCAAGGCTTCTTATCTTCGTTATGACCTTAACACAATCATTTCCTCCAAACCCAAGGATGAGAAGAAGTCCCTCAAGGAACTCACCACCAAGCTCTTCGATACCATTGACAATGTAAGTTTCTCATCTAACTTCCATTATGGCCTCAATAATTTATTAAGCTCATTGAGAGCAATTATCAAGATTGTGTTATGTTTCTTATTTGTCTGATCGAAAGTTTGTTTATGATTGATTCTCCGGCAGCTGGATTATGCGGCGAAGAAGAAGAGTCCTTCGCAGGCTGAGAAGTACTATGCTGAGACAGTCTCTGCTTTGAACGAAGTTCTTGCCAAGCTTGGTTGAGCATTTTAATTCTGCTTTTTCTTGTAAATTATCATGTCATGATTTTTGTTTTCTGAGTACTTTAGACTCAAATTCGTGAATCTGAATTTATGTTTCACGTTTTCACCAAAAAAATGGTAATTTCTTGAGTATGCATTAACTTTTTTTGCATGGTGATTTAGCAAACAACATCATTAAGGGCCTGACTGGTTTAACGCAGCGGTTGCGGTTGCGGGAGTTTGCGGAAGCGGGCGGTTGCGGTTTCAAGCGTTACCAAGCGTTTTGAACGACTGGTTTAGCGTTTGAAAATGGATGCGTTTGCGGAAGTTTTATGACTGGTAAACCAGCGGATGCGGTAGCAGTTAAATAAAAAATGAGTAAAAAAATAAAAAATATTACAAAAAAATAAAATAAAAACACCAATATATTATTATGATAATATTAGAAAAATTGAACATGCTTAATGATTAAAACCATAAATAAAGTACTAAATAATTATTCAAAAATAAAGAAATTTTATAATAAGATAGTACTTTATGCTGGGTTAACACCAAAAATTGTATCAAGTAATGGGACAAACTGTAAATAACGTTGAATTCAATCAAAAAGCAAGTAATTTTCTATTCGAGAAAACAAATCGAAACATATATTCAATCAAAAAGAAAAGCAATATATAATGAAAAGAAAAAAATATTCAAATTGATTTTCATCAGTTTGGGTGGAAGACATTGAGAAAATAAGGTTTTAGAATATTGATTAGGGTTTCTGATGAGAACGTGATACAAAGATGAAAGATATATATAAGATTAATATATTTTATAATAACTATAAGTAAACGTTTGATTTTTTTTTTTTTTTTTTTTTTTAATCCAACCGCTACCACCCGCAACCGCAAACGCTTGCGGGAAGGAGCTTTTGAAATTCAGCGATTTTGAGCGGTTTGAAACGGTACGGAGCAGTTTCTATGATTGGTACCAACCGCTAACAACCGCAACCGACCGCTAGCAACCGCTTTTTTGCATGGTGATTTAGCAAACAACATCATTAAGTCAATTCGTACAATTCTTAAATCAGGCTTTAAGCTAACAAAGTAGTAAATGAAATCGATTGGTGGAAACTCATTGGTTTATATAAATGCTTCTACACTAATATTTGTAGTTGATTCTCTTAAAATACGAATTATGCAAATTAAGTAAAAATATATATTTGAGATCTCTATTCTCCAACATGGTGTAACAAGTTCAAAACCGAATCAAAAGAAATTAGGCTAACCAAAAACAACCAATCCTTAAACCGAGCTCGGTTCGATGTGGCAGCGATTTCACTTTAATTGGGCCGAAATACTCAATAGGCCCATGTTTGAGTTTCATTTGCACGTGTCTTTGTAGTTCCTCGTCTGCCCTAGTTACCCGCGCCCTTTCCCCGGCTACTTCACCGTCGTCGTCGTCGGCAACTCGCTGACTGAGTGAGTCCCCGATGACGAAATCATTTAATCTTTGAATGTTTACTTCTCATTTCTCTACTTTACCAAAGACTATGAGTATCTCCTCAGTCGCTAAGCGCTTCGTTCCGTACAAAAAATCCCTTCCACTGAGAAATTCGTATCGATTTCTCGAAGAAACTCTCCCTCGTCGACTTAGTTTACTTTTACAAGATTGCTCTAACCTAACTCTGCTTCGACAAGGTAAGCAAGTTCACGCCTTTGTAATCGTAAACAGAATCTCCGGTGATAGCTATACCGATGAGAGGATCTTGGGGATGTATGCAATGTGTGGTAGCTTTTCGAATTGTGGTAAAATGTTTTACAGACTTGATTCACGACTTAGTAGCATCAGGCCATGGAATTCGATTATCAGCAGTTTTGTTCGAATGGGTTTATTGAATCAAGCTTTGGCGTTTTACTTCAAGATGCTCTGTTTTGGAGTTAGTCCTGATGTATCTACGTTTCCTTGTCTCGTCAAGGCTTGTGTTGCTTTGAAGAATTTCAAAGGGATTGAGTTTCTTTCTGATACGGTTTCTTCTCTTGGGATGGATTGTAATGAGTTTGTTGCGAGTTCTTTGATCAAAGCTTATCTTGAGTATGGAAAGATTGATGTGGCGGGTAAGTTGTTTGATAGAGTTCTTCAGAAAGATTGTGTTATATGGAATGTAATGCTTAATGGGTATGCAAAATGTGGAGCTTCGGATAGTGTTATAAAAGGGTTTAGTTTAATGAGGATGGATCAGATTAGTCCTAATGCTGTTACGTTTGATTGTGTTTTATCTGTGTGTGCATCTAAGTTGTTGATTGATCTCGGAGTTCAGCTTCATGGTCTAGTGGTTGTTTCTGGGTTGGATTTTGAAGGCTCTATCAAGAACTCACTTTTATCTATGTATTCAAAATGTGGTCGTTTTGATGATGCGATTAAGTTGTTTCGGATGATGTCTCGTGCTGATACTGTGACCTGGAATTGCATGATATCTGGATATGTTCAGAGTGGATTAATGGAAGAAAGCTTAATCTTTTTCTATGAGATGATATCTTCAGGTGTCTTACCTGATGCTATCACATTTTCTAGTTTGCTTCCATCAGTTTCTAAGTTTGAAAACCTTGAGTATTGTAGGCAAATTCATTGCTATATTATGAGACATAGCATATCGCTGGATATCTTCTTAACGAGTGCTCTTATTGATGCCTATTTTAAGTGCAGGGGTGTTTCTATGGCACAAAAGATTTTCAGTCAGTGTAACTCAGTTGATGTTGTAGTGTTCACGGCGATGATCTCTGGGTATTTGCATAACGGCTTAAATATCGATGCTCTAGAGATGTTTAGGTGGCTTGTTAAGGTAAAAATAAGTCCAAATGAGATAACTCTGGTGTCTATTTTACCGGTAATTGGAGGTTTGTTGGCATTGAAACTCGGGAGGGAACTTCATGGTTTCATCATCAAGAAAGGTTTCGATAACAGGTGCAATATTGGATGTGCTGTTATCGACATGTATGCTAAGTGTGGGAGAATGAATCTTGCTTATGAAATTTTTGGGAGACTCTCTAAGAGGGATATTGTTTCGTGGAATTCAATGATCACACGTTGTGCCCAGAGCGATAATCCGAGTGCGGCTATTGATATTTTCCGTCAAATGGGAGTTTCAGGAATCTGTTTTGATTGTGTGAGTATTTCAGCTGCTCTCTCTGCTTGTGCAAACTTACCTTCAGAAAGTTTTGGGAAAGCTATTCACGGTTTCATGATAAAGCATTCACTTGCTTTGGATGTATATAGTGAAAGCACATTGATAGACATGTATGCTAAGTGTGGAAACCTGAAAGCTGCCATGAATGTGTTTGATACGATGAAAGAAAAGAACATTGTTTCGTGGAATAGTATCATTGCTGCATATGGAAACCATGGGAAGCTAAAAGATTCCCTCTGTTTATTTCATGAAATGGTTGAAAAAAGCGGAAATCGTCCTGATCAAATCACATTTCTTGAGATAATATCTTTGTGTTGTCATGTTGGAGATGTTGATGAAGGAGTCCGCTTCTTCAGATCCATGACTCAGGATTATGGAATCCAACCGCAGCAGGAGCATTACGCGTGCGTTGTGGATCTGTTTGGACGAGCTGGTCGGTTAAGCGAAGCGTATGAAACTGTTAAGAGCATGCCGTTTCCTCCAGATGCAGGAGTTTGGGGAACATTACTTGGAGCCTCTCGGCTTCACAAGAATGTCGAACTTGCTAAAGTTGCTTCAAGCAGGTTAATGGATTTGGATCCCTGGAATTCGGGTTACTATGTGTTGATTTCGAATGCGCATGCTAATACGGGGGAATGGGAAAGTGTGACGAAAGTACGGAGTTTAATGAAAGAGAGAGAAGTTCAGAAAATTCCTGGTTATAGTTGGATCGAAATCAATAAAATAACGCATTTGTTTGTTTCTGGCGATGTAAATCATCCCGAGTCTTCTCATATCTATTCTTTGCTAAATTCGCTTCTCGAAGAGCTGAGGCTAGAAGGATATATCCCACAGCCTTATCTTCCATTGCACCCAGAGTCATCAAGAAAAGTAAATCCAGTTTCAAGATTCATTGAGAAAGGAATGAGAGATCCAGACAAAGTGTAGAAAACCAGGTATATATCTTTAAGTCAAACTTAAACATTGCGTTAAATTTATAGAAAGGAAAAACGGGGTAGAAAATTTTTCAAGCGTGGCCTGCGCTTGTCTGTTCTCGTGTTGAAGCAGTTGCAGAGATGTAATAAGCAACAGCAAAGAGTCCGTGAATGAAACAGAGGATCCCTCCTATGGACAGAACCCGATGGTGCGATATCCCGCAGTTTTTTCTTGATCTTGAGTTTGCCATCGTCCCTACGATCAACATCGAGAATGCAATCGCCAATATGATCCTGAGAAACACACAAAAAAGGATCTTGAATCAAATCTCTCTGCCAGTCCCCTTCTTCACCACATTAGATTTACACATTTGTTCTGTTTATGTGGTGTTTTGACTTACCAGGAGAATATCAGAGAAGCCACAGCGAGCTGTTTATTGGCAGAGGATTTTTCAAGGTCTTGTCTAGAGGCAACACAGAGACACCCACCGAGAAAATTAGCTGTTACATGGGCTAGCACCAAAAGGATGCACGCAGCTAAACCGTACTTGAAGGCTGTGTAACTCGGGTCTCTACACTCGAAAATCCACATCTTCAAATGCTTCACCTGCACCCCAAAACAAACAAATTAGTGAAATCTGCAACTCCTGTCGACTTGTGGGTGTGTGTAATGTACCTTGTTCTGAGCTATTTCGGCTTCAATGCCGAGAATTCCAGCTGAAACATCCATGGCTAGGATCAAAATGCAGATGAAGAACCCTACATTTCTTGCCATTGTCGATGAAACAAATTATTACCAGCAAACAAAGAAGCAGAAAGTATTGTTGTTGAAGTACTAACTTGTTCTTGTAATTTATAGACAATTAGAGTTTTAAGCTTTAAGAAACTCTCTTCGTTGGATAGAATAAGAATAAAGTTGAACATAAGTTTCCTTTTCTTGCATTTTTACTAAAGATCATGTTAAGAGCATAAAATTTAGCTGTGATCCTCTCTTTTTCATCAGAAAATTTTATCTTTTACACGTTTATTCAGTAATGTGCAAGTCCTCGAAAAGATTTGTCTTCTTTATTCCTCCCTTCCATTCCATGTTTAATAATAAAACCTTTTCAATATTCGGATTCTTGACAGAGCAGCCAAGCAAAGAAGAGGAAAACGTTTGCGTTTTGAAACGCTGTAAAAGACAAAAAAAACGTTTCAAATTTCCAATTTATGCGTCTCCAGTCGCTGTGGCCCAATAAGTTGAAATGGGCCTTTAAAAAGAGAATTATCCTTAAATCCCGTCTCGTCGTTGATAATGACGTGGCTACGTAAAAAAAGAGAAACGGATTCGAGAAGGCGGTGATGACGTGGCACATTTCTCTAGAAGCAGCTCCATTCTTCGACTTGCTTATTTTCTTTTTTTTAAAAATTTCGAGAAATGTTCGATTCTTCGAGAGTTCGAATTCTCTCAGGGAGAAGAAGAAGAAGAAGAAGAAGAGTTGAACAGAGAAAATGGCGGCTTACTACAGATGGAAGAGTTTCGAGGAGAACGAAGATCGTCCAGAGAAGCCTCGCCGTTACGGTGTAACAGAGATGCGAGGACCTCATTACTCCGTTCTCAGCCAGAACCTTCTTCAGGTACCTATGTAAAATGATAGTTTCTAAAGAAAATTGTTTTGCTTCACGATTTTGATTGAGATTTAGTAGATTAGGCTCTTATGGTTGGTTAATCGTGTCGTTAGGAAATTTTTGAATCAATGGGACAATTTGTCGATGGGTTAAAGTTCTCGGGAGGATCCAACAGTTTGATTCCAAAATCATTCATCAAACAAGCTATAGAAATGGCTCATGAACATGGTGTTTATGTTAGCACTGGTGATTGGGCTGAACATATGCTTCGTAGTGGTCCTTCAGCTTTCAAAGACTATGTGGAGGTAAAGATCTTTGACATCCATAGGAAATGATTGGTATTGGAGAAGAATTAGGTTTTTGTGAGGTTTATTTTGTTTATTTGGCGCAGGAGTGTAAGCAGTTGGGGTTTGACACTATTGAGCTAAATGCAAATTCTCTTGAAGTTCCTGAGGAAACTCTTCTACGATATGTACGTCTGATTAAGAATGGTGGTCTCAGAGCTAAACCAATGTTTGCTGTGAAATTCAACAAGTCTGATATTCCTGGTAGGAATCGAGCATTTGGTTCCTATGTTGTTCCAGAACCTCGATCAAGCGGTAAGAAGAAACAACTCGGAGTTGTTTGTTAGATGAGCAGTGAGAGTTTCAGGTTTACAAGCTTACTGTGAGAATACCTTGTTTTACAGAGTTTGTTGAAGACATAGATCTCTTGATCAGAAAGGCTGAAAGGTGTTTAGAAGCTGGGGCAGACACGATTATGATTGATGCGGATGATGTTTGCAAATACCCAGATTCTCTTCGAGCAGACATAATTGCTAAAGTCATAGGACGTTTGGGAATAGAGAAGACTATGTTTGAAGCATCTGATGGGAAGTTGGCTGAGTGGTTCATCAAACGTTATGGTCCAAATGTATTTGCTGATACTCCTCTCTATTATTTTTACCTTTTGTTTGAATGGTCACCCTCACAAGATTCATGTCTCTTCGTCTTGGTTTTTCAGGTGAATCTGTATGTGGATCATTCTCAGATTATGGATCTTGAGTGCCTTCGCGGTCGTCATCTGGGTAAAGATCACCAATCCGTTCTCAGTTCCTCATACTTCTTATTTTAAAATAGCTCTCGCTCTACGTCTAGTGCTGCGTGAATTTCCTATGTATTATGTCGTATGTGTTTGATGTTTTGTGCTTCTTTGACGTTGTAAGAATGCAAATGTTTAGAGAATAATGTGATATGCAATATTTCGGTGATCTCATAATATCTTGGTCGTTCTCCTATGTTAGTCTCTCAGAATGTATACAACCTAGTAAAGTAATGATCATAAGGCTTGTTTGTTCTTGTATGTCTCATATGATCAAGAGTTTCACTGACTGAATGAAATAAGCAGTTCATTATCCTATAAGTTATGAATCCAAAATATCAGTTCTGTATCCATGCTTTTTACTATTTTGATAGAAACTTCTCTGTAATATCATTTGAAAATATAGAAGAATCATAAATTCCTACCAACCATAATCAATTGCCTAATTTTACTAGGTGCTATTCTTGTCCAACACATATGTCATGATTACATTTCAATATATTTTTTGTAACTATTGTAACCATAGTTATCATAATTATAATCTAAATATAGCTTGTGCCTAACTGTCATATGACAATAACAACCATTTTTTCGTGCTTTGATTTTTGTGCTTGTTAGTAGTTACAACGTTTATTTACTGCAAGATACAATCAGTATGTGTATTGATTGGTTATTCTGTCATTTTTTGGAGCCAAAGTTTGTTTATCAGTTTAGCTGATAAACAATGGAGATCTATCTATAAAACAAAGAAAAGCTTGGAGAACAAACACTTCTCTTGAAAAATGAAAAAAACTCCGAAAATGGATAGTTCTTTAAGATTCTGTTTTGTTGCTATAGCATTTGGTTTTGTGTTTATAATGAATGGAAAGCTTAGCTCTGGAACAACACCCCACGAGGCAGATCCTCCCCAGGCATCAAACTTGGCCTTCTCTCCCGAGGCTGCTCCTCCAGACACCTCTGCTATGGACGATGACTCTGACATAAATTATGAACCTGTGCCACCATTTGTCCCCGAGTTCCCCGTATGTACTCTTAACTGTTTTAGATTTGCGAGGAACATGTTCTAATTGCTCATGTGTTCATTATTTTTCTGATAATAATAGGTTTTTATATTTTACTTGGGGGAAAGGAAACACGATGATCCTAATTTGGTGACTCAATCACATCTTGAAATCCTGAAATCGGTTCTTGGAAGGTAAAAGAGTCATTGAAGATTTTGGGGTGTATAACTTAGCTTCTAAGGTGGTTACTGAATTAATTTTCTGGTTCGAATTTTGTGTTACAGCGAAGAAGCAGCCAATAAGTCGTTGGTCTACAGTTATCACCATGGGTTTTCTGGCTTTGCAGCGAAGCTCAAACCAGCCGAGGCAGAGAAATTGAAAAGTATTGTACTTTATCACATATTTCTCGCTTGTTCATGAGTTCTTAAATTCCAAAACTCAGAATGTGTTTTTACTAAGCCATTTTTTGTGTTTCTGTCTACTAGAGCATCCTGAAGTTATTATTCTTCTGGAAAACCGAAAACTTGGGTTGCAAACGACACGGACATGGGATTACTTAGGCCAATTTTCAACTCCAACTTCTTCTAAAGGTCTTCTACATGAGACCAACATGGGCAGTGGTGCTATTATTGGCGTTATCGACTCTGGTATTATATCAGTCTCTCTATTAATTTGTTTCGTTCTCAACTTTTTTTAGCAGAACGTTAACAAATCCGACATTATATGAGCAGGGATATGGTCAGAATCAGGTGCCTTTGACGACGATGGATATGGACCAATACCAAAACAATGGAAAGGACAATGTGTATCTGCAGACCAGTTCAGTCCTGCAGATTGCAACAAAAAGCTTATTGGAGCTAAATACTACATTGATGGTCTTAATGCAGATCTCGAAACAAGTATCAACAGTACTATAGAATATCTATCTCCAAGAGATCGTAATGGCCACGGGACTCAAGTATCCTCAACGGTAGCTGGTTCCTTCGTTTCTAATGTGACTTTGCCCGGTCTCTCCTCTGGGTCAATCATGAGAGGTGGCGCTCCAAAGGCGCACATAGCTATGTATAAAGCATGTTGGGATGTGGAAGGAGGGATGTGTTCAGTTGCTGATGTCTGGAAAGCTTTTGATGAAGCCATTCACGATGGTGTTGATATTTTGTCGGTTTCTATTGGTGGCTCAGCCCTGAAATCTCTTGATGTTGAAATCGACATCGCAATTCCAGCACTACACGCCGTGAATAAAGGTATTCCTGTTGTTTCTCCAGCTGGTAATGGAGGATCCCGCTATTCATCGGTTATTAACATTTCTCCATGGATATTAACCGTGGCTGCGACTACCCTTGACCGGTCTTTCCCCACATTGATCACACTCGAGAACAATAAAACCTTTCTGGTATATACATTATATAATACATGTTAACTTTTGAATCTCGAACGATCCAAAGCTTGTGATTCATGGTAAAGTTGCCTTTTCATGACCTGTTTTTCAGGGTCAGAGTCTGTACACAGGACCAGAAATTAGCTTCACTGTTCTGATTTGTACTGCTGATCATAGTAATCTTGATCAAATTACAAAGGGTAAAGTTATAATGCACTTCTCGATGGGTCCCACGCCTCCAATGACACCGGATATTGTTCAGAAAAACGGTGGTATCGGTCTAATTGATGTGACAAGTCCGAGTGATAGTAGAGTTGAATGTCCCGCTAACTTTCCATGTATCTACTTGGATTTGGAAGTTGGATCTGAGCTATATACCTACATCCAAACTACGAGGTTATTTATCTTCACAAACTTTGCTCGGTCAAATTAATATCTCATCTTCTTACATATGAGAATCTGAATTGTTGTTTTCTTGCAGCTCACTAAAAATTAAGATAAGCCCATACAAGACAATAATTGGCGAAAGAGTAGCAAGTAAAGTCGCAAAGTCATCGGCAAGAGGGCCTAGTTCATTTTCACCTGCCATTCTTAAGGTTTTGTTTCCTTCAGCTCTTATTCCGGATCACTAAATGTAGGTTTTATTCTTCAACTAACTTCTTTGTATTTTCTGTGTAATGCAGCCGGATATAGCAGCTCCGGGTGTGACCTTGCTAACACCTAGAATACCAACAGACGAAGACACCAGCGAATTCACTTACTCAGGAACATCAATGGCAACTCCGGTAATTGCAGGAATAGTAGCACTCCTCAAGATTTCGCATCCTAATTGGTCTCCTGCTGCAATCAAATCAGCTCTTGTCACAACAGGTTTAGTTTAATTTATGTCTCTTTAAAACTCTTTTCTCAATAAGAAACTCTGCATTTAAACACAAACTCTATGTCTTTCAGCCATGAAAACTGATCCATACGGCGAGCGTCTGACTGTAGATGGAGGTAACTATAAGGTAGCCGATGCATTCGATTACGGAGGAGGTCTTGTGAATCTGGAGAAAGCCACAGATCCTGGTCTTGTATACGACATGGACATCAATGATTACATACATTACTTATGTTCACAAGCACTTTACACAGACAAGAAGGTTTCTGCTCTAACCGGAAACATCACTAGTAAGTGTCCAAGCTCATGTTCATCGATTCTTGACCTCAATGTACCGTCAATTACCATTCCAGACCTCAAGCGAGACGTCACAGTGACCCGAACCGTGACAAACGTAGGACCTGTCAAGTCGGTTTATAAGCCTGTGATCGAGACCCCATTAGGATTCAAGGTTGTGGTTTCGCCGAAGAAGTTAAAGTTTAACAAAAGAAGAAACAAGGTTGCGTTTAAGGTGAGAGTGTCTACAGGCTCACATAGAGTGAACACTGCGTTTTACTTTGGGAGTTTGACTTGGAGTGATGGACTTCACAATGTCACAATCCCAATCTCTCTGAGGACACGTTTTATCGATAATTTGTTCCTGTAAATTGTTTAAACCCCGATAATTGAAAATGTTGATGTTTTCATCGAATCCATTTGTTCGAGAGGAAAACTAAATAATCTTTAATCAGTGTATTTACTACATTGAAAATTAACTCTCCAGTGATTGCAGCCACGCTTATGATTGAAATTTTTCCTAAACAATGTATTAATAACAACTATCGCTGTTATCACATACTATTTATGTATTGATCTATGTAACAGTAGCATATGATTAATTTCTTAAAATGAATTTTGTCAAAACTCAAAACGTCATTTGCAAACAGAATCCAAAACTTAGCAGAAAAATGGTTTACTAAGTGATAAGGGTATTAGAATAATTTTCCACTTCCTTATTTTCATTTTCATACTCATTTTCTTAAAATGAAAAAGCTTACTGCGAATTGATGAAGAAGCATCGACACGAAAGAGATACTGCAAATGCTAGTGCTAAACTGCTAATTCGTCTTCCTCGTCGATCATCATTAACCTAAGCTTCTGTCTATCCTCTCTTACTTTCCTTTTCTGATTGAAATAATTGCGAACCTAACCTAATGTGAGATCGTCTTCATAGTTCGTAGTAAACCCTAATTGTGTAATTGCTAGTTCCTACTCATTCGAAATTGATTTCTAACAAAATATGTTTTTCTAAATTCATCGTATGTCATTATAATCTTATTTCATAAATGAATTTTAGAAATGCAAAATAAATAAAATGATAAAGATGGAATTTTTGGTGAAGAGCTGTTTCCAGTAACAGCCCCAAATTAACAGGAACGACTTGTTAAACTGATAAACTGTCTCAAGGCGAAAATGGATTTGTCTCGTTTAAATCTATTTGGACATTTGGTTTGTTCGTTTGATTAATTCCTTTTTTTTTTTAATTATTGTTGGTGATTGGTTATTATGAGCAACTACCTGCTAAGCTATTCATGTCAATTTGTTGTTGTGTAAGTTTTTGAAGACTATTTTATGCATAAAAATCCACACTTTTAAGGGTTAACCCAATAAGGAAAAAAGCAATTCTTCCCAAAGAATATGGGAATTGTGAAGGGAAGTCCCAAAGCTTGTCTCTTTATTGGAGTCTTATTCACTCTGAATCTTGGGTTTTGCGTGTTTGCTCAAGAAACTAGCAATGAGGAGAGAAAGGTCTGTATAAATGGTTCCTGGGTTTATTCTTTTGTTTCGTCCTTGTTGTGTGTTATGTTTGGTCAAATTGTGTGACTAATGAAACGTTTTCTTTTTTTCCTGTTTCTGATTGAGGTAGATATATATAGTGCATTTAGGCGTTAGGCAACATGATGATTCTGAGTTGGTCTCTGAATCACACCAGAGGATGTTGGAATCGGTTTTTGAAAGGTATAGGATAAAAACCGAGTTCTTGATTTCTTTTCTTATTTTAATGAAGATGATGACGTCTCATGGTTTTCAAGCTAATTATTTTGAATTGATGATGAAGCGAGGAAGCTGCTCGAGATTCCATCGTCTACAACTATCACCATGGATTTTCCGGGTTTGCAGCCAGGCTTACAGACTCACAAGCTAAGCAACTTTCAGGTTTGTTTTTGACTTATATGAAACAAGTAACTCAAGAGCTTCTGTGAAGCCTTGTTGTACACATCTTCTGACACATTTTCTGGTTTTTGGATGGGTTTGTTTCATGTCATGTCCAGACCGTCCTGATGTTTTCAGTGTCACACCAAATCGAAAAGTTCAGTTGCAGAGCACGAGGGTTTATGATTATTTGGGTCTTCCGCCGAGTTTTCCCTCAGGAATTCTCCATGAGAGCAACATGGGAAGTGATCTTGTCATTGGTTTTCTTGACTCAGGAGTATGGCCAGAGTCTCCGGCTTTTAATGACGAAGGGCTTGGACCGATACCGAAACATTGGAAGGGGAAGTGTGTAGCCGGAGAGGGTTTTGACCCAGCAAAGCATTGCAACAAGAAGTTAGTAGGAGCAAAGTACTTCACTGATGACTGGGATGAGAAAAATCCTGGGAACCCAATCACTGATGACGAATTTATGTCCCCTAGAGGTTTGATTGGACATGGGACGATGGTCTCTTCAATTGCAGCCTCTTCATTCGTGCCTAACGCGTCATATGGTGGTCTTGCACCTGGTCTCATGAGAGGCGGTGCTCCAAAGGCTCGTATAGCTATGTACAAAGTTGTCTGGGATAGTGTTACTATGGGTTCAACCACTGCGAATATGGTCAAGGCATTTGATGAGGCCATAAATGATGGCGTTGATGTATTGTCGATTTCTCTAGCCTCTGTGGCTCCTTTTCGCCCAATTGACGCTATTACGGAAGATTTGGAGCTTGGATCGTTCCATGCGGTGACAAAGGGCATTCCGGTTATAGCTGGTGCTTCTAATACAGGCCCTGATGCTTACACTGTGGCTAATGGAGCTCCATGGCTTCTCACAGTCGCTGCAACTAACGTAGACCGTACCTTTTATGCAGACATGACTTTTGGAAATAACATTACCATAATGGTAGGTAAAATGTTTTTTCAGTTCTTTTCACCGGGTTTCATTAGTCTTGGAAACTTACTATTTTCCCTTAAAACTGTTCCAGGGTCAAGCTCAACATACAGGTAAGGAAGTATCTGCTGGTTTAGTTTACATTGAAGACTATAAAAACGATATCTCTAGCGTGCCGGGAAAAGTTGTCCTGACGTTTGTGAAAGAAGATTGGGAAATGACAAGCGCATTGGCGGCTACAAGTACCAACAATGCGGCGGGGCTGATCGTGGCACGAAGTGGTGATCATCAAAGTGATATTGTCTATAGTCAACCATTCATCTACGTAGACTATGAAGTCGGAGCTAAGATTCTACGATACATCCGGTCGTCAAGGTATATATCCTTTATTTTATATTTTTAGTGATTGATCCTTCCGAGTCACATAGTATGTAAAACTGATCATTTTCTTATGGCTTGCGGTCTCTTCAGTTCTCCCACGGTTAAAATTAGTACTGGTAAAACGCTCGTAGGACGTCCTATTGCGACTCAAGTTTGCGGATTCTCATCTAGAGGGCCTAATATAATCTCTCCAGCCATTCTCAAGGTTCTTTCCTTAAACAATGTTTCAAAATCTTGTCTGTCATTTCCAAGGATTTCTGTTAATGATGGAAATTTCTTTGGGCTTCTGGAAAAAAATTTAATAAATGATGCAGCCTGATATAGCAGCCCCCGGTGTGACGATTTTAGGAGCTACAGCTGAAGACAGCCCCGGTTCTTTCGGCGGTTATTTTCTAGGCACAGGGACATCCTATGCCACTCCCGTTGTTGCGGGTCTCGTTGTACTACTCAAAGCTTTACACCCTGACTGGTCTCCTGCCGCGCTAAAATCCGCCATTATGACTACAGGTTCTTGAAATCGAAAACCACTTTCTCCTCACCAGAAAATCACCATTCGTTAATCTAATCTTACAGAGTTTTTTCTGTTGTTATTACAGCATGGAAGACTGATCCATCCGGAGAACCAATCTTTGCGGAGGGAGAACCACGGAAACTGGCCGATCCATTTGACTACGGTGCAGGACTCGTGAACGCGGAAAGAGCCAAAGATCCAGGACTAGTTTATGACATGAACCTCGATGATTACATTCACTATTTCTGCGCCACTGGTTACAACGATACAGCAATCACTCTAATCACCGGAAAACCCACGAAATGCTCGTCTCCGTTACCGTCTGTCCTCGATCTTAACTATCCGGCCATCACGATTCCCGACCTTGAAGAAGAAGTGACCGTCACAAGAACGGTGACTAACGTCGGACCTGTGGATTCAGTTTACAGAGCTGTGGTCGAACCTCCACGAGGTGTAAAGATTGTTGTCGAACCCGAGACTCTGGTGTTCTGTTCGAACACGAAGAAACTTGAGTTTAAAGTTAGGGTTTCTTCGAGTCATAAGAGTAACACTGGTTTTATCTTTGGTAGTTTCACTTGGACTGATGGGACTCGAAATGTTACCATTCCTTTGTCTGTAAGGACTCGTGTTTTGAACCCTTGAATAAGAAGATTCCTCAATTCGTCATAATTTTTTTTTTTTTACTATTTTTCTCTATAATGAAAACAAAAACATATAATAAAAATTGTAATTTCATTCTCTGTGTTTGACTCTAACTGAAATCACATTCCCTAATAACAAACTGAGACTAAGATTCTCTCTTTTCTTCTCTCTCTACTAACAGACTTCTATCTACATGAGAAGCAACTATATAACTCATGTCTTTTACCACCATTACATAAACAAGAAAAAAGAAACACTTTTGTCTGAAAAATTATCAAAGAAGAAAGAAGAGGAAAATTAAATGGGTGGAGGAAGCAGATTTCAAGAACCAGTGAGGATGAGCCGTAGGAAACAAGTAACAAAAGAGAAGGAAGAAGATGAAAACTTCAAATCTCCAAATCTTGAAGCAGAGAGACGTAGAAGAGAGAAGCTTCATGGTCGGCTTATGGCTCTGCGATCTCATGTCCCAATTGTCACCAACGTAAATCCGAGAAATCTCTATTTTTGTTTTGTGTGTTTGTGTGAAATTTGGGGATGATTGTTGTTTTTTTCTTGTTTTCAGATGACTAAAGCAAGTATTGTTGAAGATGCGATTACTTACATAGGAGAGCTTCAGAATAATGTTAAGAATCTCTTAGAGACATTTCATGAAATGGAAGAAGCTCCTCCTGAGACTGATGAAGAACAAACAGATCAAATGATTAAACCTGAAGTTGAAACTAGTGATCTTAAAGAAGAGATAAAGAAACTCGGAATCGAGGTTTTTAAATTTCTCTAATCGATTCTTGATTCATTTTCTTTATCTTACTTGATGTTTTGTTTTTTTTGGATAGGAGAATGTGCAATTGTGTAAGATTGGGGAGAGCAAGTTTTGGTTAAAGATCATAACAGAGAAGAAAGCTGGGATCTTTACAAAATTCATGGAGGTTATGAGATTTCTCGGATTCGAGATTATCGACATTAGTCTAACAACTTCAAATGGAGCCATTCTTATTTGTTCCTCTGTTCAGATACATCAGGAACTCTGTGATGTTGAACAGACAAAAGATTTTCTTTTGGAAGTTATGAGAAGCAATCCGTAAGTATACATACATCTTGGAAATTTCTGCCACTAATAAGATTTCCATTGATTTTAATACATTGTTGTTCCATTTTAAATATGATTTTGGTTCAGATGAAACAGAGTATGTGTTACAAGCCATTGAGCTTCTTCTTGTCTCCATATATGTTTCTACAAAATGCTCATGATCCTCTGTTTGATAATATCTCTAGGATCCGACCCGGCACGACCCGAATCCGACGCCGGTGAACCTACTAATAGGGTTTTATCATAAATGGGCTTTGAATGAACTAGCTCTTAAATGGGCTAATTCTTAAGTTGAGCCCATTTAATTTCTACTATCCTCCTAGTGATGTTTATTTGTGTAAGGTTGGGAGTTGGAACCTAAGTTTTTGTTTCGAAATCAAAATATTCGATAGAGTTCAAATCAAGAGACATTTTGCCTACCCTTTAACTAACACTTTAGAAAAATGATAACATACGGTTTTCATCTCTGACTTTTCCCACTCCACGAAATATTAATAACAATATTAAATAATTCATAGTTTCCACTTTCCATTATGGAATGAAAATAACAAGATGGACCGTTTTCTTAAGTCAAATGAATCAAATCAACAATCTCTATTCTTATAGAACGTTGGTCTTAAAATTCTGTTGAACTCAAATTGTATGAAAAGAAGTTAAATTTGATTAGTATAAAGACAAAAAAAAAAACACTAAACGTTGATTAATTAATTAATTATTTAGTTGGTTAAATTCTTTATATTGAAGTTGGTGTGTAACCTAAGTCACTAGAAGTCTACAAATGTTAATAAATTATGTATTGACTGAAAATATTAAAAATCATCTGTTTAGTCCAACTATATGACGTGAGCACATATTTTGGGAATCTTTCTAAATTTAAATATCAAACCAAAAAGAACCCAAATGGATTGGAGGGGACGGTGTGACTTAAACCATATACATACACATATTTGTTTGTTAGTGATCATATCGGAAATCGGAATATTAACAATTCATTTTAATCGTGTTCCTTTACCAAATATAAATTATAATCGAAAAAGTCTCCATTCATATAGTTGCATTTTGAATAGATATTGATCAAAAAATTTATATTTTTGTGGTCAATTAGGCATAAAAAAATTTTGTATGAAAAAAGAGTCAACACGTTACACGTGGCTTTGATATGCTCATATGTACCTGTGTACACAAAAGACGTCCGTATAAAGTGTGGTCGACTGGTCGTATACGAGGCCAGCCAACAACTACCCTTTTGCGATGGATTTGGTAACGCTGACTTTCTTTTTTCTTGTACGTATTCATCGAACATCCCAAAAAATGAATAAATTATTTGGCCGACAAAATTATGATTTCTATATTGACATAGATAACGGATTAACGGTGACGTCATTTCTGTTGTGAAATTATTTAATTATTTAATCAGTCAACCCCAAAACAGTTATCCCTCTATTCCTAGAAGATTGATGTTCTAGAGATTTCATATATATTAAGAAGCAATCATTGTTTAATTATTTGTCAATTACTTTTTTATAATAAATATTTTTTAATAACTTTGAACCAATAGTATTAGAAAACAGTTAATCATTACGTCTTGAAGTTTACGATATATTAATTTTAATCAATAAAAAATAAAATAAAAATCTAAAAAATCAAACTTTGTGAAATAAACTAAAACTCTAGAACATCAAATATCTAGGAACAGAGGGAGTAGTTAATAACGAATGCATTTCCATAAATTTTGCAAGTAAAATAAATTCCATACCCGTACGATGTGTTGTTAAAAATATATACACTTTTTTTTTCTTTAAATCAATTTTATTACCTTTTGTATTTCCCCTTAGGTTAATAGTTCCAACATTTAATTTATCAAACATTTTAGTTTCAAATACCTCCAACTAAATTATTAGCTAATACTTGTAATTTATAGTATTACCATCTCACATCAAAGAGTAACAATAGTAATGATAATAGTAAGAAATTAACTTTGGTTTATAATGTTTAAGAAAGATAGGGTCACAAACTTACATGTAGTATTATTGTATTGGGTTGTTATTTAATTTCCAAATCAGAACTAAAATTTACATTTTACTACGTTGGTAAAAATTGTCATCTTTTAATTACTTATGTTTATGACCTAACTTCATATCGACTACTCTGATAAACATACATTATCTTTGTTCCCTAGTGATCAAATGACTAATAGATTAGTTAGGGAAGTACCGATAACATATAAAACTCTTGTAACATTTTTTAAAAGATAAATATCATGACTTTTGTTGTTGACTTAAACCTCATCGCCACATATAAATACAAACCCCATCATCAACATCATTATTGTCTCGTGCAAACTCTGACACTTACGAAGAAATCAATAGTAACAAACCTAAACCATAGTCTACGTAACCAACAAGACATGACAGAAGAATTCGACACTACGGGAGTTTGTAACGGAACATGGTGGAGCTCCTCCAACGGCATGTTCTCCGGCTGTTCTCTGCCACGTTCAGCGGAGATTGTCGTCGATCTCGGTGGATTTGAATGGCAAAACATTGATACCCTTGATGCCAAAACCTACAATGAGAACTATCTTGATACTTCCACATTCTTAGGCAATACAAATCTTGATACCACCTCACAAATCTACGTTTCGAGTCAATCTAACATGTAAGTCCATGTATATCTTATGTGACGTATGTAAAATCATGAGTCCCTGACCTTTTTTCTTTTTCTTTTTTTTTTCCAGCCATGAAGAAGAACGATACAATCAGATAAATAGTTTTCTAGAAGGATTGTTTGATTCTAATTATGAACAGTTATCATTTCCTGACTGTCCCAAACCAGAACTATTCGAAAGCTTTCACTTCTTTGATGACGTTTTCTCGAACGAATCAAGAATGATATCAGTCTTTGATCACGACAAACCCAAGGACGACATGCAAGCCTCCAAGAGTCTGATTACTTGCAAGGTACGTAAATCTATTTAGTTTCTTTTACCACAGATGTTTTTACAATATTTAGATTTTGACGTTGTGACCAATTATTTTTAGAGAGCAAGTGAGAAAACTGAAGAACACGAAGATATTGAGTCATCACAGCCATTAAAAAGGCCAAGGCTTGAGACACCATCTCATTTTCCGAGCTTCAAAGTTAGTATTTAGTAACAAAAGATCTTACTTCACTTTTCAAAGATTGTCACTTAGAATTTTAGTTATTGAAAAACACATACCCATGCACAAACTATTTCTAATTTTCTTCCGAAAAACTATTTTGATTGATAAGGTTCGTAAAGAGAAACTCGGAGATCGAATCACTGCGCTTCAACAGTTAGTTTCACCCTTTGGCAAGGTTTGTGTTCATCATGATCTGTTATATTAATATCTCAACTAAATATCAGCCATACTTAATTAGGAAATTATTTAGTTACTTCCGTTTTCAAATTTATTTATTATTATTATTTTGTGATGATTTCTGCAGACAGACACTGCTTCTGTCCTCCATGATGCTATAGAGTATATCAAGTTTCTACAAGAACATATCACTGTAAGTTGATAATTAATCTCACATAAATAAAATACTACTAATTGTTGGTTTTAATTAACTGTTAAATAAATTAATTCTAATTTCATAATCATTTATAAATAGGAAAAGGTCTCGAGTAGTCCACACCTGAACTCTAAAGGATCTGGTGAACAGAAGCAGGTACTTAAGTTAGTTTATGGTTAAACAACTCTATATAATCTAAAATCGATCAAGTAGTTTGATTTTTGTTCTTTTGCTTATGATCATAATTAATAAGATTCTTTCAATTCTAGTGGTCAGACAAATCAAGCAATAATACTCATAATCAAGATTGTAGTCCAAGACTAGATCTTCCAAGCCGTGGTCTTTGTCTGATGCCGATCTCAAGTACTTTCTCCACTCCTCCACAGCATTTGGACGCATCTAGTTTCTGGAATTAGACTGTTTTAATTAAAACAAAATTATAACATTACGCATGAACTCATAGATAAGTTTTGTTCTATGAACTGTAAAGTCTGATGTTGTTTTATAAAATGTGATGTCTCGTTTCGTTACTTCCTACAAATTTGCATATATATTTTTTGGCTGTTTTACCAATCAATACTATATTATGGAACTAGATTTGAACCCGCGGTACACCGCGGGGCTATAATTTTTAAAAAAAATCTAAATATAATTAGTTTTTTTTTTATTAATAGAGAGTATAATAAAATATTTCGACCTATTTTATAAATGTACCATCCATATATCTATATTAATAATTTTGAATATATTAATTGTGTTTTAGGTTTAAATGGTATATCTATATATACACTTAAACGACATTTGGCTTTCTTCTTCTTCTTGCCTCAGTTTAAGAGAAAGATTTTTCTTGCGGTACACCGCGGAGCTATTATTTTTTTTAAAAAAATTTCTCCTTAAACTTCCAAATCTAGATTTTACCCCGCGGTACATGGTCAATTTTTTTATAACTAAAAAATTATTTTGCAAAATTTTAAGTTGTATTTGTTTTGTTAATATTGTTTATTTTGTTTAGTGTTTCTGATTTTATAATTAAATTTTGATTTTTAATTCTAGGATTTCATCCATAGTATATTGTTTAATATTAATATTGATCTAAACCCGTTGCACCATATAACCCCGTCCCGTAAAATTAAACATCATTTGTTATTTTTTTTTAATAATATTTTTATCCACTACGGGTTGCAGGTTCATGCGGATAAGCCCGTAGAGAGTTGCGGGTTTGCGGATCCACCCGCCAAAAGAGAAGCTATCTTTTGAAACCCTTTGTTTTGTTTAGAGGTTTTAAGAAAATATCTAGGCCTGGGCATTCGGGTACCCATTCGGGTTCGGTTCTTTTTTTTGGGTATCGGGTCTATTCGGGTAGGGGGTCAAGACCCATTCGGGTATTCTAAAAATTCGGTTCGGGTTCGGTTCGGGTTCGGGTCGGTTCGGATATTTTAATAAAAAAGCAAAATACCCGAAAATAACCAAAAATACCCGGAATATTTTCGGGTTTGGGTCGGGTTTGGGTTTTTAACTCATATATACCCAAATCTAACCGAAATACCAGATTTCTCGAAAATACATTGGTTACTCTTTACCCAAATATAACCAAAAATATCTAAAATACCTAATATATTCGGTTTTATGATTGTAATTTTAGGTATTTCGGGTATTATAAAAATAAAAATAACTAATATTTTTAGGTGTATATTTGTATTCGGGTACATTCGGGTACATTCGGGTATTGGATTCGGTTCGGGTTCGGTTCGGGTTTTTTTCGGGTAGGAGGTTAGGACCCATTCGGGTATTTTTAAAAATCGGGTTCGGGTTCGGTTCGGGTATTGTTCGGGTATTCGGTTCCGGGTATTTTGCCCAGGCCTAAAAATATCCCTAAAAAATAATTTTTATTATATGAAAAAAAGAAGTAGAAGAAATTGTAGTATCAACATTCCCGATTTTTACATCACTTTTTTTTTTTGTCATCTGGATTTATTATTTATTGCAAATTCTGAGAACTGTTACAATTAATTTTTTTTTTGCAGATAAAAATCAGAAGTTAACTAAGTCGAGATTTTTAAAAAGATTGTGTAGAGATTTTTGGTAAATTGTTGAGAACATATTTGATTTCAGAATCTTTACTTAAATAGATAAGGAAAGATTTTGTAGAGACTTTTGCTAAATATATGAGAAATGAATTTCAATTAAAAATCTTTACTTAAATAAAACAAATCTAAATAATTAATGCTAGTGGCATGTCATTGTAAATACTTCTCAACTTCAGGATTTATTTGCTAATTGTGATTCAAAAATGTATATATAGATATGTTCACTTATTCTGTCATATTAAAGACAAAAAATCATGGTCTTAGTTTTAAAATATTGTGTGATTCCACTACACATAATTTAATTTCCACAGTCACTCACAATCAGAATCCTACAAAGGTATAGAATATTTGTGGATTTTTTAAAAAGATTAGGAAGACAAATTAGATGATTTCTTTTGTCAACTATAAATTAGGTAATTAATACTTCCATTAAGGAGATCTCTTATTAGAAAAACAATCACTTTAATAAAGCAGTTCCTTTCCATAGTACTCAAAGGACACAACTCTGTTTTGTTTTGTTTGTGTCCTCAAATCAAGGCATATGATTGAATAAGAAACATAAAGCAGTAATCTTTCAGCACTATTTTCAAGAAAAAAAAAAGCACGAGTAAAAAAAAATTCAAATACCCATCTTTTTTTGAAGGAAAATTAAATCATTGTGGAGAGAATTCAACAGAGACCATGTGCTTTTGTTACGAGCACGCCACAATTGAATTAGACATGGAATCATAAGTACAGTGACTGGTTTGTCCCAGTGACTATTGTAGTAAAAAGACAGGTTTGTCTTATGGAATCATCAAAGTTCTTAGGAGAAAAAAGCAAAAAAAGATCCGGGAATATTATTTTCTTCAATCCATGAATGCTTAAACCAAATAGATCAAATTCTCAAAATATTTCTTACTGTTTCTGCATATACCAACACAGTGATTCAACTAGCAAACAGTATATAAGGAATGAACCAATCAAAGTGCTAGTAGTACTAATGCTTTTCATGTGAAATCATGGGAAAAAATGTTAGGCTTGAAGATTTGAAATGATTCCGCGGATGAGAAATTTATGCGTACCTGAACTTTGACTGTTTAAAGAATACTTGCAACAAAGGGTTATGATTCAACAAAGAAGGGATTAAATGCTTTGAAAATGAAAAAGATTACAAGTCTCTTGGTGAAGAACATTTTGAAGCACTTGAAGAAAACTATATGCATGATCCTTTTATTACTATAATGTACAGAAAAAAAAACCAAAAAAGCATTTGCATTTTGCTTTGTTGAAAACTTAAGCCTTTGTTTTGTTCTTCCTTTCTTTTGTACATGAACTACACAAGTGGAAAATCCAACACAGAGAAACCCAAACTTACCTCAATATCCAGACCAGGTAAACAAAACCAGAACAACTATCATCCCAAAAACTACCACCGATAACAAAACCCCGATCCCTTCAACTTCCATTTTCAGTACCAAATCACACTCCCAAGATCATGAATTCATTGGAACCCCAAGTAAAGTATGGACTAAGATAGTAGCATTCCTCCTGATTTTCTCACTCTCTTTATCCTCCAAACCAAAGCATATCTCTATAACTCCTTCTCTCTTAACCTCATCGATGATTTCTCGGCTACAACAACACAAGCAATTGAGGATAAACAGAGAATACTGAATCCCTTTCAAACTTCCATTCCTCAAAACGTTAACCAAAACCTCAACAAAGCCACTTACTTTACTCATTTCCTCTCTTCCTCCTCTACACTTAACCAAAAGTCCCAACACTTCCACTGCTCTCTCTAGCCCTGAATCAGCTGCTTCAACCAAAATAGGCACAGACCCACAATCCACAACCCGTTTTCGATTATCCGGAAACGAGCAGAGCGCGTAAAGAGCCGTCGCTGATTCCTTTCTCTCCCTATCATTCCCTACCCGGAGAAGATAGACAAGAGCAGAGATAGCATCAGGATACGATCCAATAGTGGCTTTATTAACTTCAACAACAGCTAAACTCGTTAACAGAGTAGCAGCAATCGCTTTACAATCCGGTGACCCGACCCGTAAAACAGCAACAATCCGTCTTATCACTCCATCAGCTACTAAACCCACTTTGTTATCATCTTCTAAACTAAGATTCAAAAGCAAAGACAGAGACTTTTCCTGCAAAACCTGATTACCAGAGTCAACACAATCCAAAGCCGCACGAACCGCTCCTGATTCAGTAACTTTCCTCCTGATTAACGAGTCTCGCTTCGTGAGACGAACGAGTCGACTCAAAGACTCGAGCTTTGACGCATTAGACGGCGATCGAGAGACGAGAGTGGAGATTAAAGCTTGGGATTGAGACTGAGAGTGTTCTTGTTGAGTTCGAGGACGTGATGATTCCTTAGGACTCACATGGGCAAAATTTGAAATTAAGCTACGAAGTGCGTGATTGGGAATCAGAGAAGGGTTTTCAGATAACGGGAGCTTGGTGATTGGGCAAGTTCGATTGCCGGAGTCAATCCATTGTTGGATAGAGACCCGATCGAAAGTATGACCCGATTGGAGGATAACCGGGTCAGACATAATCTCAAGAGAGATCGGGCACCTGAAATCGTTTGGTAAGTCAAAGGCCATCTATAATTTTAGCTCTTTCAGGGTTTCGAGTGAGAAAGAGATAAGATTGAGACTGAGAGAGGGAGAGAGAGTGAGAAAAAGGTTTTAGAAGATTCCTGCAGGAACAGAGCAGAGAACCCAAAAAGTAAGAATAAGTTTTTCTCCGTCTTTGAAATTAAACTCAGAGAGAGAGCGAGAGAGAGAGCGAGAGAGAGGACGGTGAAGCTTTTGCAGCAATGGCTATTGTTTGATATGACGAATTTGCCCCTTTTGTTTCGTGGATGTCCGGGCAAGGGTATTTTGGGTATATAGGATAACACCTGTTCTAGATACACGAATTATACGCCAACACATCACTACACATGCAGACTATTTTAATGTCTCGCTAACTACACGAACTATTGGTATTACATACAGACATCCCCGAACTATCATCGGTTATGTGTGCAACACCATAACCATCATTTTCAGATAATATAAATGTCTTGTTAACTACACGAAGTATTTCTTATTTTTGTCAACTACACGAAATATTTTCCATCAAATTTTTTTTAAAAAAAGTAATTAAAAAATAAAAAATAACTAAAATGTAAATATTACACTATTATAAATTATATATATATATTATAACTTTTAATGCATTATAATTTTAAGTTAAATTAATTTAACTAATTTAATATTTATTATATTAAATTGTTAAAAATTTAAAATAGTCACTTAGTTAAATTATACATCACTATAAGTTAAATAAAACTATATAATATATCAATGTAAATTATATATACCATAACCATCATTTCCAGATAATATAAATGTATTGTTAACTACATGAAATATTTCCATCATTTTTTTAAAACTAAATTACA